CCCCCCTACTCAAAGTTTCTCAGCCACTTCCAGTGCCATTTGGATAAAATCCAGACTCTGTGTTTTGATTTCAGAGCCCTCCACAGACCCTCACCTAACTAACTCTCCCACCTCATCTCCTATCTACTTGCTGTGCCTCAACAGTCCCACCTCCCTTGTCTGTGCCAGTTCTCCCTCCTGATACGTCCTCATCCTTTTCTCTGTCTAAACTCTCTACCAGCCCTGGTTCAAACCACTTCCTCCATCCAGGATGCCCCTGACCTTAGTTTGTGCCTACTTCTCCCACCTTCAAAGCTCCCTTGCACCAGTGTCCACTCATCTACTTCACCACTTATATTACCTTTCTGTGTATTACTATTCCACTGGCTAGGTTTTAGGCTGCGAGGAGACACAGACAATGGCCTATAGTTTTCCTAGGCCCTTTCTCAGAGTGCATGCAATTATTTTGCAATGGAAAGGAGGAAATATTAGAATCTCAAAATTCTTTACTAAGACCTAGATGTAAATAGATAAGGTCTTGGATTAAGGAGAGTAGAAACTGGAGGAGCTGGCAGTGTCCTTTGGAGAACAGATGAATTTGTCAACAAAAAAGGAAATAAAAGGATTGTGGATTTTTCTTGTTTTCCTTTATTATGGCAATATTACTGTAAATTCATTTGTATTACTTTCTTTTTCTAGTATCTTCAGTTGGGCTTTTTATTTTGATTCTGATATAAAAATAAAATGTCCTGGACTTGTGCTAACCATTCTTTATTTGGTTTTCAGGTTCTGTTTGTTCCCAGACACTGGTGGCATTATGTAGAATCCGTTGATCCTGTCACTGTCAGTATAAACTCCTGGATTGAATTGGTACTTTTTTTCTTAATAATTGTATTCCCTGCTTTTAAGATACACAAAGCCTGTTTCTAAAACATGGTGATTAATTTTAACCAACATTCCATTATTACTTTGTGTTGCTGTATCATAAATTGTGTTCTGTGCTCTGTGGATGGATGTTTAGGATGGAAACAGGATGTTTAGTGATGTTCCATTCTTTCTTTTAATGGCACACAATGGACCTTGAGGTTGGCTTGCAGGGTCTTTTCCCTTGAGCAGTGTTGTTACATTGTGCGGGCCTGGTTGGATCTGCCATGCATGTCTCATGTTGCCAGTCCTATCTCACACCATCTGGACCAGAAACACTGCTTCTTGATTCAAGGCTCTCATAACTAGTTGGACAATTCTCAGTTCTTGCTCATACATTTACTCAAAGCAGAGTCGTTTGGTGCTAGGTTTTTATCATTTCATTTCTGCCTTAAGCCTTTTCCCTCCAATATGCTGTGCTTAGTCCTGGTTGCCTGCTCTACTCCACAATTAAAGTGGCTGCCCGTTTGGCTCAAGTCTATCTCTTCAACCCAAGGCCTTGATTGCATCTATACGCTCTTTTACAGAGGCGTTGACTGCACCTGTGCCCTCTTTAACCTAGGCCTTCAGTCCATCTCCGCTGTCCTCTCCAGCCTTGGTTGCATCTCCTCTCTTTGGCAGCTGCAATCTCCCCTCAGTCGGGCTTTTCTTACCCTTTGGTGATGGAAAGGGCTCTGGTGGAACACACAGTAATAGGAAGCTATATAGTGTGAGCTTAGAGCAGATCTGTCGCCCTTGGGAGTTAGGTGAGAGGTGGGGCAGATCAGTAGACTCACGGAAGTTCTGCTTGTGATAGGCTGAATTGGAGTTGGAGCACATGCCAAGGCAGAGTCCATGGACTCCACTTCTACTCCCTGTACCAGTCACATGTGCAGTAGCCCCAACAGATGCCACTTCTCCCGAGGTAGCTCATCCTGTTCTTGAATAGTGGGCTTGTCATCTGCCTGCTTACAGCCATACCTGTTATTTCTGAAACTATACACAATTTTTTTTCCTTTCTAAGTATTTGAGGATACCTGCAATGTGTCCCGTTAGTCTCTTCCAGGCTCAAAAACTCAACTTTATTGAATGATGTTTTTATGTGACTTTCTTTTCAGACTCTCCACCATTTTGGCTGTAGACTTGGAGTTAGGTAGACTTAAGACAGAAGTCTATACCTTTGTTAGCTGTCTAACCTAGATGATTACTCAATTCCATGAAGCCTAAGTTTCCTCACTGGTAGAACAGGGATTATAATTGCACTTACTTCAATAGGGTGACTGTGTGGTTTAAATTGGGCAAAACATGTATAATACAGTGCCTGGCCCATGGGAAGTGTTCAAAAATAGAAATTGCCATGAGGAGGAGAAGAGCTGTTATGCCAAGCATAGCCCTCTTAATGTTCGGCACCTAAAACTGAAAACCAGTGGGCCTCATTTTGTGGAGCATAAGATTTCTACCTCATGTGAGTTTTGATACTAAATTTTTTCAGTACTGCTTATAATACTACATTAACTTTTTTAGTAATCTTATCTCACTTGCGGCTCATATCCAGCTCTACAGTATCCATGTGCTTCTCACATGATCAGCTGCCACATCAGATTGTCCTTCATCCTGAATCTGTAAAGCTGGTTCTTTATATTTGAGTCCCATTCTTTAGTCATCTCTCTTAGTTTTCATCATATCTATTTGGTTGAGCATTGCCGCTTCCCAAGATAATTTTGAATTTGAGTCTCATTGATGCTTTTGGTGAACCTCCTTCAGGCTGGCTTGTGCCCTTTTGGTATGTCACCATTAATCTTTGAGATTATCCTTGCTTTCTGGTACATATTAGATACCCCAGGATTGCCTTGTACTTGGGCTGCCCCAAACTTGGAAGTCAATAATTTCTCCAAGGGGCCTAGGTTTCTTTTAGTGGGAATGGTATTTAAAAATTCAGATTTGGGTTCTACGGCTGCTCATTGCTACTGGTGTCACTGTTTTCAGACTCTTTAAGTGGTGAAGCTAGAATGTAATATAGGTAGATAGATGATTGATTGATTGATTGAGCTATACGTATACTACTATACATTATGAGGATTTTTCTTATTTATTTTTATCTCTTCTCTTACACTGAATTTCTGGGTCCTTACTAACAGTAACATATTTACTTCTTTGCTTTATCCACCAATGTTTTTTAAGATGTCAAATTTACAATTCCATATTCTAGTACCCATATGTGACTTTCTTTTCGGAAACTATAAAACTTGTCAGTAGGGGGGAAACCAAGATGACGGCATAGGTAAACACTGGAGATTGCTGCCTCGCACAACCACTTCAAAAATATAACTAAAAGATGGAACGGACATCACCCAGAAGCACAGGAAGGCTGGCTGAGGAGAAATTCTACAACTAGAAGGAAAGAGAAAAGCATACCAAGACTCAGAGGAGGCGCAGTGCGGAAGTAAAATACTAAGGTGCGAAGGTGCGTGCGGCGCGGGCTGGCGGCGGAGGGTGCAGTTGTCGTTATCAATCGAAAGGGAGTCTCAGGCTCTGAGCTCCAGTTCCGGGCAAGTCTCTAGGGACCCAGATTCATAGGGGAGAAGAGGGACTGTCTGGCAGTGGTCGGAACTTGAGGGCAGCTTTCTCTCCTAGGGGCTTGCAGCTTATTGAGAAGCAAAGCCTCTGAGGGCAAGACCGAAAGCAGCCATAACTGCTAGCCCTGCCCTGTTAATCCCTTGTGACCTGCCCCACCCAAGCCCTGCAGGGAGGCTTTTGCTGGATAGCCTCAGGCAAATTCTAGATTAGCACCTCTCTAGAGATCCAGGAGCCAGGAAGCCCAGAGGTCAGAGTCTGACCATCCAGTTTGCAGCTCCATGGAAACATATAGGACACACTCAGGGAGCAGACTCAGTGAGCACCGAAGCCCCATTGAAGAAAGTCTTGCCCCAGAAGGGTGTCTCCAGCACAGAAGTTCTCCCACTGCAAACACAGCTGATTCTCACAGTCAATTGGCCTGGAAGCCAATTCCTCCCAGTGATACCTACAACAATCAAGGCTTAACTACAACAAGACTGTACACAAAGACCACAAGGGGGTGCACCAAGAGTGTCCTCCTCAGGTAATTGCGGAGGCTGAACCACTGTGCCCTAGAGGACACTTTGCACAGAAAACCACTGTATCAACCCAGAGAAGCATTAAAAAATACAAAGAAAAAGGACACAAATGACAGAAATGGAGGAAAGCAAACTTCTGGATATAGAGTTCAAAACCACACTTTTAAGGTCTTTCAATAATTTTCTAGAAACTGCCGATAATCTTAATGAGACCTACAGGAAATCTAATGAGACCCTCGATGTTGTGATAAAGAACCAACTAGAAATTAAGCAATAAAATAATAAAATAAGGGATTTTAAAAACGCTGTAGTCCAAATTTGAATTAGAAGTGTAAGTATGGATTATGATGGATTTTATATTAAGAAAAACTATCTCCTAGCTCTGTCCATTGAAAAAATCCTAAAATAAGGAACAAACGAATTGCAAAGAACATTCCTAGCACCCAGATGTAGTGTTTAAATACTATTTCCCTTTAAAAGAAACAAGTGCAGGCCAGAAGGGAATGGCAAGAAATATTCAAAGTGATAAATACCAAGCACCTACAACCAAGATTACTTTATCCAGCAAAGCTATCATTCAGAATTGAAGGTCAGATAAAGAGCTTCACAGAGAAAAAGCTAAAGGAGTTCATCACCACCAAACCAGTATTATATGAAATGCTGAAAGGTATCCTTTTAAGAAGAGGAAGAAGAAAAAGGTAAAGATACTAATTATGAACAACAAATATGCATCTATCAACAAGTGAATCTAAGAATCAAGTGAACAAATAATCTGATGAACAGAATGAACTGGTGATTACAGTAGAATCAAGGACATAGAAAGGGAATGGACTGACTATTCTTGGGGCGGAAAGGGTGTGGGAGATGCGGGAAGAGACTGGACAAAAATTGTGCACCTATGGATGAGGACAGTGGGTGGGGAGTGAGGGCAGAGGGTGGGGTGGGACCTGGGTGGAGGGGAGTTATTGGGGGGAAAAAAGAGGAACAAATGTAATAATCTGAACAATAAAGATTTAATAAAAAAAAACTTGTCAGTAAAATTTAATATTTTTTGCATCCTTTTTATCATTATACTATATCCTACTAACTTTTTATCATTATACTATATCCTACTTACAGTAGCCATCATGACAGAATCCTTTTCATTTGTGATTATGTTACTGACTTCAGTTTTTGCTGTTAAGGCCTTCCACTGATTGGATGAGGTCCACCCACATTGTAGAGGACAATCTTCATTATTTAAAGTCAACTGATTGTAAATATCAATCACATCTAGAAAATACCTTCACAGAACATCTCTGCCAGTGCTTGACCAAACAACTGGCACCATAGCACAATAAAGTTGACTTGTAAAAATAACCATCACATACAGCAACTCTATGTTGAACCTTTTGCAGAACTGTCAGGCTGTTTTCCAAAGCAGCAGCACCCTTTACAGTCCCACCAGCAGTGTAAGAAGATTCTGGATCCTCCACAATTTGACCAGTCTTTTTTTATTATATCTGTCCTAGTGTAAAGTGGTATCTCATTGTGGGATTTGCTTTTAAAATTTAGTATTACGTTTCTAAGGTTCATCTGTGTTGTCACATGTAGCTGTTCATTCATTTCCTGTGGTATATTTTCTTGTGTTAATATACCACAATTTATTGGCTCATTGTTCTATTGATGGATAATGGGTTGTTTACAATTTTTTACTTTTTTAAATAGAATATTCTTGTACAAAAGTACAAGTTTCTCTAGAGAATATGTGTGATTCTCAAAGTGGAATTGCTGGTCTGTAGGGTATGTAATACTCAAGCTTACAAGATAATGCCAACATGTTTTCCAAATGGCTCTATCAATTTATACTCCCATCACCAGTGTGTAAGATTTCTGTCTGTCTGTGCACATTTTTCCACCACTTGCAATTATCAAACCCTCTTTTACTAGTTTCAAAATTTATATTTTCCCCTATTTTTAATGAGGTTAAGCATATTTTTATGTTTATTAGTTATATAATTGTTTTTTATTGAAATGCTTATCTTCATGTCTTTGGCCTATTTAAAAATATTGGGTCATTTTCTTTTTGAACTTTGAAAATTCTTTATATATTCTAGATATTAATCTCATACTGATTATACTTAACTAGAAGCCCGATGCACGAAATTTGTGCAAGGGTAGGATTTCCTTCCCCCAGGTGACCGTACCGGCTTCCCTCCAACATCCTGGGCTTTATTCCCTCCAACACCCTGTACCTGGGCTGGATTCCCTCTGGCCCCAACTTCATCAGGAAGGACATCAGAATGACATCTGGAAGACATCCGGTCTTATTAGCATATTACCCTTTTATTATTTGGACTAGAGGTCCGGTGCACAAAAATTTGTGCACTTGGGGGGAGGGGGAATCCCTCAGCCCAGCCTGTGCCCGCTCACAGTCTGGGACCCCTCAGGAGATAATGACCTGCTGGCTTAGGCCTGCTCCCAAGTGGCAGGGGGCAGGCCCAATCCCTAGGTGCAGCCCATGGTCAGGCTCAGAGCAGGGCTGATTGGGGAGTTGGGGCGCAGCCCCCTGTCATGCACAGAGCAGGGAGATTGGGAGGTTGTGATGCCACCCTCAGTCACAATCAGGGTAGGTCCGATTGGGGGGTTGGGGCGCTGCACCGTCATGCACAGAGCAGGGATATTGGGAGGTTGTGATGCCACCCTCAGTCACGATCAGGGTAGGGCCGATTGGGGGGTTGGGGCACCGCCCTCTGTCACACTCAAGGCAGGGCCG